TCTGAACTATTTCACCTTATGCTTTTTCTCCACACCCCCCCCCCCAAAAAAAAACAACTTCAATGATAAGAAGCTACTTTATAACTGAAAACATCTGGAAATTCTTTGTCAACTAAGCAGATGAGAAGATGAGGCTAAGTGGTCTGGGAAGGTATGCATCCACTACTGAGATGAAGAACCCTAACAGAAAGGATTGTTTTCAAGCATGAAAAAGCACAATAACGACGACTACTTGCAGAGAAATCATGCAAATCAGCAATAAAGAATTCTCAAGACAAGACCGCCATACCATAGCAAATAATCAGAAAATGGATGATTGTAGCAAAAATGTTTTCAAGAACTGTATTTATTGCATAGAATGCAGCTACAAATTCCTCACTGAACAAAAACAGGTTGCAAAGAGGGTTGGAACTAGATGATCTTTAAGGTCCCTTCCAACTCAAACCATTCTATGAATAAGCAACAATGTCACCATCACATGGAACCAGACCATCCTTGGTGACTGACATGTCTTTGAAGGGTCAATTTAATATGCTCCAGGGAAACCACTCATCTACCAGGTTTGCTCAATATTTGTAGGTTCCCACTTGCTTTTGTCTCTCCCACACTTCAGTACTCCGCAGAACATTCAGGCTTGGTAAAGAAAAACAGACTCCAACCTTCATCAGCAAAACTCAATCGAGTCTTCGTATCAATGAACTCACAAAATAGACGCATTTGATAGTCACACGGGCAATTGAAAACGGCAAGATGGAAAAGACTCCTGTTGGTAACTGACCTAAAGATTCCACAGTTTGGTGGTGGGATGCTTCTGCACTGCGTATTGCTGTTTTGCATTAGTCTCTTGTAAAGGAGAGTAGTCTTCCTTCAAATTCTATTTCAGCAGTAATCTTGATACTAAGATCTTTAATTAAATTCATGAGAGGAAAAATTTTAAGCATATGAAGAACACAAACCAAAGCCCAGATTCTGACCGTCTGTCCTCCAAAGAGCTCCAAAGAGCACGTAAGACAAGCAGATAGCTTAAAGGCTCTTCTAGCAATTAAAATATAGAACAAAAGAAAAAAGAATTGCATTCACATTAATTTAGTTGGCACATTCTTTGTACACAAGCAAGCAGGTCCCATGAAAGTTGCTAAACTTTAATTCTCAAGTCAGGTCATTAGACTCTTCTAATTGCAAAAGCATTTGTTATGTTGACAGGGTATCCCCAAAAACAACTGTCAAACTGAAAATTCTAGTACAGAAATTTCATACAAATTTAAGTACTAGCCTATATGTTGCTGGCTTCAGAATAAAAACAGAGCTACTTCTATTTTAAAAGAAAAAATATCAAATTAGGATTCACAGAAGTTTTTAACCTCTGCTGGAATCTCAAAAATTAATATTTTTGTCTGCACTGCTTCAGGAATATAGCATTGCTCACTCCTGACCACTTGTTTTTTTAAATCCTTCAGTTTGGGAAAGCAAGGCTGCTAAAGTGGCCTAAAGCCAGCCCCCATCAAGGACTTGTTAAAAATAAAATGGTTAAAAACAGATGGTTACAAAATTCAAAATTCTGAAAAATAAAGAGCAGCAAAGAGCAGTTAACACTGCACAATTCATTAACAATCTCATGATAAAAGTAGAAAATCACAGATGATCCACAGACCGAAATGCTGACGAATGATCCGCTCGAAACAGCGGGAATCATGGAGAGGCCTGCTGCTCACACCCCCTGCACAGAGCACCAAGCACTGCACACTGTGAGGTGGTGAGGTTTCAACTGGCAAGAGTAGAAGAGTTACAGAAAAAAAGAAAAGAGTCACTGTTGGAAGAGTCCCTGTGGTAAACAAAGTAAATCAGGATGTGAATGCTGCTGCTGCAAAGCACAGTTTGCAGCAGGAGTAAACTTCTGAAGGGGAATGTGAAGGTGGCCCTCCTACTGGGCTATCTAACTGCACCACATATTCAGCTATCTTTGTCTCAAGCCACAAGGGGACACAACTCACAAAGGCAGGAGCCCGCATCACACCAACTTAATAGCAAAAAGTAAACGCAGAAGTTCAAAAAGTGAGGTTTGTGTTTCTGACAGCAAAGTTAATAAAGCAAGCTTTGAATTTCCCCCTTTTTTTTCCTGATGGTGTCTTATACCACCTGATCAGAAACAAGATTTCTCATTCCTAGTCTTGACTTTTCCTTCTTTGAAGTTTTAAGGCAGTTGTTTTTCCTTTGTAAAGCTTTGAATAATAATTCAGATTTTTGACAGTGTCGTATTTACTATACACTCTTGTCTGCAGCACAATCACAGGAGAACACAAGCAAAAATAAAATTATTAAAAAAGAATAACATGCCCTCTGCTATTTATCCTGTAACGATGAAAATAAGTGTAACTCTAAACAACCCTGGTATTCAAAAACAGTTGTATGCTTTTTACAAACCCAAGCTTTGGAGCAAATTTTAATACACTATACCTAGAGGTTTAAGTGAGACAGACTTCTGGTTATTGTGCAATCCACCTACTGTGATTTATTTCACCACCTAAGGAATTTTCTAGATGCAAATAAACAAGGAATTATCTCTCCCCAAGTCTACAGGTTTGGTAAGGGTAGAATTAAAATGTAAAAGCTGCTGGTGCAAATCCCTCTGGCCCAGGCTTCGGGTATGCAGTCTTCCCACCCGGCACCCCTACTTTCTCCCTAATGCTTAGGCACCCCTTCATCTGTGACAGGGGTGCTCAGCTCCTCACGGGTGCTCCTGCCTCCTGGTCTAGCAGTAGATGGTAACAGCAGTAACATCCTGCAGGGACACAAGGACACAAGAAGGTACTTTCACATTTGTTATTGTTTGAATAATAAACCAAAGGATCAGAAATCAGACTCCATATATGGCTTGTTAAACTGGGTTTAGACCAGCTGTAATTCTCATACTGCTCCAAGACATCACAAATGTTTAGCAGTTCACATAAACTGAGAGACAGGTTTGGACTGTGGTATAGGTCAGAACTATTTTCTCTATGTTAAAATGATAAGCCAGCAGTAATAGCATTACATATTCAGCATCCCTTCTCAGAGTTCACACCTCCTGAGAAACTCCATGCAGTTTACAACTCTAAGAAGTGGAACATAGGAATAACTCATATGCGAGCTTGTGTGTTCAGTTATCTGCACAATCCACAGAGTCAAAAGCACAAAAGGATGCTTAGGTCTCCTCTGTCTGTAAACTTTCCTCAGTCCAATTTAAAGATCTATCTCTTGAATTATGTAAGCAAGTATAAGCAAGAGCCTAGGTAACTAAATGCAACTCAAATCTCTCAAAAAACACGTGTGCACATATGCACACAGATGCATGCTTGTGTAATTAGCTGTGCTAAACAAAGCTCCTAGTTTGGGGAGGTCCAGCTACGGGGATTAGATCTCTGAGCTCACAGCAGCAAGGGCCTGGGCAACACTCACAGTGACCAGCAGCCACCCTGTATCACCCTCACAGGAGGCAGCAGCTCCGAACTGACTGCTGTTAGACAGCAATGCTGCATCAAAAAGGTGGAAAGGCCGAGGGCAATGACTGCTCCTGGAAGGGCACAAACCAGTGCCAATCCAACTCTAAACTGGTCTGACATCTGGCACAGGTGTTTTGTTTTTTGAACGGGTTGTATCCAAGTTCACAGGATTCCTGTTAGGAGCATTATATAAACTCAATTCAGGAAAAAGCTGACATTGCAGACATGGCCTTTGCTTCTGAAGCAACACTCCACAAGTAGGGCAAGTGTCACTGCCATGGAACAACACTGTATATCAGGTACTGAGTAAACAGTTGCTCAAGACCTCCTAGAATTCTTTCCAAAAGAAAAGTCTCACATTCATCATGAGTATATGTAAAACGCAGCGTGATGGAAGTACAGGTAGTATGAAAAAGGATATTAGTTAGGCATCTTCTTGCCCCAGTTAGGCCAACGAAACAATTTTTTAAAAAAGCTAAGTTATCATGACCTCAACTTACATAAGCAAAAATAACCGCCTAAAAAGGTGACCAGTTTCAACTGAAAATTATGTCTTCTACATTTAAATCTCAGTAGAGTAAAGCAAAAGTGAATCACCAAGACAATACTGTTTTCATTATACGAAATAAATATTTAAATACCTTTTTTCAAAGAAATCTCATTATTCTGAATGCAACATAGGTGTGAACATCATGACTACAAAATATGTCATGGAGCAGATGTTGCAGAAAAGTTTCTCCACTGAACACATGCAAGAAAAGTAAAGAGCTATCAGAGGTAAACTAGAAGACTTCTGGGATTCCTCACAGTCCTGGATTTCCAATGACTAAGAAAAATTTACTTCTTTAGGCCCTTTTGAAACCTTTTGCCCAAAAATCAGATACAAGAGTCAACTGCCTATTTAAAAAAAACAAATCTCATTTTGGTTGTGGATTTACCATTATCAGACATAAAAAGTAGTTCTCTATAAATTTACCTTCCCAATACTTCAACCAGCTTGTGCCTTGGCTTTATTCTGCTGAACAGCTGAACTATTGAACATTGCATTAATACTCTTCTACTGGGCATTTCACTATGACCACGTACAGTTCTACTACTGAGGTACTGAATAATGCCATTCCAGTACAATTACTTATTCAAATTGCTTGGTTCTTTGATTTGCTTTTTTTTAACCACTAGCTTACGGTAATGCAATTTTTGATGACATTGCATTTATTTTCTTGCTCTCATATATCCACAGTGGAGCATAAGACGTTACTTCTAAACAAGACACTAAACAAGGTCATTATTTAGAAAACTAATTTAATAAACAAGCAGATACAAAAGTGTTCCACAGGCATGAACAGAGAAAAAACTTATAACACTAGCCCTATTTAACTAACAGTTTTGTTTTGTAATTCACAGCAATGCCTACTAACATCTGTGTTTGGTCACCAAAGAGACAGAGAATTTTAGCAGCTGTCAAGGGTAATACACGTTGACTCACTGCATTGAATTTCTTAGAAAATGAGCAGAACTTACAGAAAATGATGAGCCATCCTTTGAAACTGCAACTGGGTAAATTCCATCTCCTAGACGCACAGAGAGCTCCCAGCTCCTTCTCTTTGATTTAGCAATAGGAATTCTAAAAAAGAAATAGGCAGAAGAGTAATTTTTAACAGAGATTTCATGCTTCTCCCATTTTAACCAGAAGCACTTGCCTCACAGGATGGTCAAGAAGGATATAAAATACCATTAATCTATAGACACAGTTGGAGAGCATACTTGAAAAAAATATACTAAATACATTTCTTCTGTCAAACAGCATATAAGGAGAAATTACACTCTTACTTTCTTTCTAGATTTGCCTTGACACACTGGGTATGTTGATAAAGTTATAGGAGGCCCTTTAAAACAGCCAGCATTTGCTGCAGAATTAGCTCAAACAGGATGAAAAACAGATGAGAAAGTGGGTTGGCAGGAGAATAGCAACAGTGATAGATGGAGCAGTCTTCTTAAGGGCAAAATGTAATCACTATTTCTTTCCTCTAATTCTCAGTAAACCTTAATTAAAAGCCAATTACAGACAAAAGATTTAGCCAAACAAGTAATAAAGTAATTTAATACTTAATATACATTTTAAAGTATCTTATCCACAGAGCCCTTCAAGCATACTGAAAAAATAATGATGTATCATCACAGACCACATGCAGGATAATACCTATTCCCACAGCATTCTGTGGCTGTACCAGTTATCAACTAATACAAGAAACCTGAATCTTTTCAACTTTAGCTTAAAGAAGCACACCTCTGGCAGTCAAGAAACGAGACCCAAGTCTTCATTCTTGGAAATTCAGAGCGAAGCAAGCAATTTTCAGTTATTTTATTTAAATGTATATTTGTTTTCTGTTTCCTTATCCTAGCTTTTCCTCTCTTCCACTTTTGCCATAAGAACTGGTGTCCAAAGGTATGCTACAACTTTTCTGATGAGTGGTCACCATATAATACCATCAGCAAGCATCATGTATCCTAAAGAGAAGACAGGAAGGTGGAATTTAAGCTCTGATCAAACAAATACATGTTATTTTGGTATAGCTTTTCTTCCACACCAACTCTTACACGTTTAGATTTTTCTGAAAGTAATCGATAGGGATAAGTTCATCACCTTTAGGTCTCTTCTAAGGATCATTTCTGCTATAATATTCATCTACTGTATATTTTAGAGCTTACTAACCCCATTTTATTGCAGCCTTCAGAGTCTTAAAACTTGGAAACACATCTTTCTGTGTTATGTTACATGCATCCTCCTGAGGATTCAGGTGCCCAGTGAACCACATCTCCCCAAACAGAGTGCTCAAGTTCCCTGTAGAATCAACAGGGAGAAGCACCTGTGAGGCCTCCAGAGGCCAGAGAAGGGGAAATTACCTCCCAAACCCAAGGAAAATACATTGACTTGCTAATAATTTCAACAATTATTTTAAGAGGGTTGGATTTTTAGACACCTGAAACTTAAGCAAGTACATGTTCAAGTAAACTAATTAGGCAAAGAGATTCCAAAAATTGTGCCTTTCAATGTGCCTGAAAAGGGGAAATGGAAACACTAAATATATCAGACACAAATAGATCCATACTTATCCTTGGTTACTCCTGGATCCAAGCCAAGTAAGGCCTAAACCAGATTTCACCAAATACCTTAGCTCACCTCTATCACTACCCAAAAAGTTCACATAAACAAATATTTAAAATAACCTATTCCCATACTAATGATGCCAAGTGTTACCTTTCACATTTAATATACTGGCAATTGTCAAAACAACAAATCTGAGGTATTATCTATGGTTTATTGGGTGCAATGTCATTTCTCAGCACCTCATACTGAAATTCCTGTATGTCACCAAGACATTGGTGACTGGTTGATAGGAAGCACGTTAGACACAGGAGTTCCTGAAGAAGAGGAAGAGGAATTTCCTGCACAGGTAGCAGGCAGCAAGCTGAAAGATGTTTTCATTGCACTTCCTGGTATCATTCTGGCACACCAGTAAGTAGGAACGCAGCAAGGTTTTGCCAGCACCTGTTTAAATTCTCCACGGCACTCCACTGCAACAACCAACAGGATTTAGTGGCTTTTAGCAACTTTATATTTCTTGTACAAGAGATAAGACCTCATCTCACACCCAGCTTAGAAGATCTGCTTCACTGGTGGCATGAGATTCCTTATAGCCTTGCTGGCACGGCCCTGCTTCATATTGCATTTGACTGGAAGTGACCTCATGAATCTGGCTGCTGGCCATCAAAGGAAAGACAGTCTTGTTCTCCAGCAGGGATTATTTTTGTTCAGTCCTGTCTTGCTGAGCTTTGTCAAGTGTATCTCCAAACAGGATGCACGCCTCTTGAAAGGCATGACTATGATCACTGCTTAGCCTGGGTTTCAAACAGCCACATAATTCCTCTCTCTGCAACACCGGTGGCCAGGAGGGCAAGGTCCAGAGCTGCATCTAACACCAAATACACAGCAAGTTGTACTTCCCTCCTGGAATTGCTAGATCCATTTGTACAGGGACATTTTTCAGCTTTGCTGATCAGCTTTGCCTATGGTTTTGTAAGTGTAATTTAAACTGGCTAGGACAGATACTTATATTAGCTGGTGACAATCCTACTTTTTCTTTGTTAAATCCAATTCCTTTCAAATAAATTATTTTGTAGTAGACTCCATTTTGATGGGATCTGGGGAGGAGGGGAGGTTCCTATAAGTAAGAATCTTAAAATCCAAAATTAAGAATCAATATTTAAGTTTCTTAGATATGAAAAGGAAGTCGTTCAAGTCTGTGAACTACTTTAGAAATGCAGAAGCTTCTGTCAGGCTAAGAAAGGGGCCTTCTGGTGGAGGGCTTTTTGTTGTTTTGTGGTGGGTTATTTTTAATGTCTGAGAAGTCCTAGGGCTTGGGAAATTACCTTTGTTCTTGTCTAGGGTTGCTTCCTTAGCTGAGAACTCTTCTAACTCCTCCACAGGGAAAACATCTGAACTCTGAATATATTTCACACTAGTTCACAGAAAACTCCCCAAACTTCTGGCTGTTTTCAAAAATGTAGAACTTTTAAAATTCTACATATTGGGCTGAAATGTGACATATTCTATTTACAGCAAAAAGCCCACCAAAACTACTGCAAATAAAAATAACGTAATTTTTGCCATCACAAAAGACAAAAAAAGGTAAGGCACTTCTGCTCCAACCCTAGGTTCAGAATCCACACAGTATGTCTTTCACAGCGTTCAACATGCCCTCCCTTTTTTCTCCCAGTTTGGGCAAATGACACATCATCCAAAAAATTACTTTATTCACGCATAAAGATCACCGGCTTCAGGAAGAAATACACGTTACGCAGCAAGATGAGTGCCAGGTGAATGGGAAGCGAGACCGTGGAGAACTGTGCGCTGCTGTCCCTTGCCAGGAGCACTACACACAAAGGGACAGAGAGAGCAAAGGCAGCACTGCAGCCGCAACAACAGGAGATGGGTGGAGAAGGGTGTTATAACTCCTTCCATACAAAATGGGCGGTTCTGAACTACTCTACTGCAAATTGCCTTCTAAAGGGAAGTATCACAAGCAATAGGAGCCCAGATGAGGAGTACAGTGATGGCTTGGCTCTAAGTCATAAAGGCTGTACTCCAAAGCACTGAAGTTACAAAAACTTGTAAACAGTGCAACAAGAAAAACAGCACCGTTTTAATGATTAGTTATTTATTTTCAACCCCTATCACTGTTTGTTCAACTAGAGATAATGTCATGGTTCCATAATTTATTTCATACGTTACACAGCGTATTATGTCCCTTTTACCCTCAACTGCCATGCGCAAGGACAGGGAGATCGCTTTATAATAATGCAGAAATCATAGCTCTGGCTTTTTTGGCAAGTTTTCAGTGAGGAAAGCAGACAACTGCTAAAAATTTTAGATCAACACACACTTACCGTGCTTATGGAGAACAGCCACTAATTAAACTATTCTAGCCAAAAACAAGTAATGAAAGAAAACAGACATTCACAAAAGCAAATCAAATAATAACTCTGCCCTGGCCATTGTGATTGGCACCAACCAATTGGATAGAAGGAACTCCATAAAAACTACAATTTTCTGCAGTTTGCGACAAATAAACTCCCCTCTCCTGATTACCGCTGATGATGTAATGAGCTATGATAAAAGTCACCAGTTCCTAAAGGGTCAGAAAATTGCATATAGATTTTTTCACTTCCAATTCAAAATATGTGTTCTAATGCTGAGGGGAAAAACACTTACAAATTCTCTCTACTTCTGATATTTTTGCTGCATAATACTTTACATAAACAGAGAAATCTCAAACTACCATAACAAATCCTCCCGTTATGAAAGATTATAAGTGCTTGAAAACCACATTATATGACACTCTATAAAGCTGTTTTTCAATTGTGCAATTACCTATTCAGCAGTTAAATAAAAGTGAAATATTGACTTAAAACAATGTTAATGGTCAAAGAATCATTAAGAAATCCTTCATCATAACTTTCACAGCAGGTGGCCTGTAAAATGATCAAGAATAATGTGCTGGATTCTGTAGCCACCAAGGTCAGTTTCTGCATACAAATCTTGCAGGGGGAGAAAAAAAGACCTTCAGAAAGTGGGCCATTCATCTGAACCAAGTTCAGAGAATTTCCAGCACTGTGAAAAGATATGTTATGCAAGCACATAGATGTATTCAGTGGGGGTAGACTGAACCAGCTACATGGAGACTACAAAGGAGCCCTCCCATGGCTCATGAATAAGTCGAGGAAATGATCAGAAAAAAATGCAGAGATGTTTAGACAGATGGCCCACTTAAAATGCCTGGGACAGGGCATAAGCAATTTTAATGAAACTTTAGATCTACCATATAAAATGTTTCTTATTTTCCCTGCCCTTCCCCACAGCCCTCCCCCCAAGGAAAAAAAAAAAAATCAAGAAAGGCAAATAGAAATTTAACAACTCAAACAAGAGCCTATCTTGTGATGTAAAAAAAGGGGGAAAAGGATCGTAAATTTCACACTTTTGAGCATTATTGGTTTAATAAGTTCATATACAAAGAAATATCCTTCACAGAACCTTCAACTATCAGATGAATATAAAAGCAGGGA